GGGCGGAGGGCCCTCGGGGCGTGGCGCTAGCCCTCCCCGGCCGGCCGGGCTCCTGGGCGCCCCGGGGCGCCCAGCGCGCGGGCTCGCAGACTTTGGGGGAAGTGGAGGAAAGTGCGGATTTGGGGAGCCGAGTGGGGAGAGGGATGGTTCCCGGGGGACCGGGCGGCCCAGGACCCACGTCTGCTTTGCGCCCGGGGGCCGCGCCCTCACGGGGCAGCGCTCAGGTGGGGCCCGGCCAGGCGGGCCCGCGCGTGGAGGCAGGGTCTGCGCCGCCGAGGGCGAGGAGGTGCAGCCCGGTAGTGAATTTTCATCCAAGTGAGGACCCGGTGGTCCAGGAGCACCCCACCCCCACCGGGCCTCAGGTCCCTGCTTGGTGAGGAGGCTGCATGTAGCACCCTTAGGTCGTGTCTGGCTGATTACAGTAGCTGTACCAGGTGGTACCTGGAAGGCGTGCGTTTATGACCTGACAGTCATACCGCTAGCTTGCCCGCGTTTGTTTCTTGCATCGTTGCCTTTCTGCGGAGCCCATTCATCGGCTACCATTGAATTGCAAACTCTTAAGTCGGCACAGTGTATGTATTTTAATTAAGCTTAACGTCCGTTTTGCTGGTGTGCCTCGGCAGTCTTACACTTCCTTTGATCAGTGATAAAGAATGATAAAGCCGTTCGTTAGAATTTAAAACCTAAATTTGGGATCAAATAATATGCGTCTTGTGGTTTATATTTCTTTTTCTGAAGGTTTTAAATGATTTTTTCTTAACAGGTTATTGTGGCATAGATTCCCTTAACCTACAAGTGTAAATCTGAAAACGCACTGGGTTATGAAATGATGTAAGATGTATTAAAGAAAAATATTAATCATTTTATAAAAGTAAAAAAAAAATGAAGATGACTGCGGTGTATAAAGTTATATGGGCTTACATCATGGATCTCATGATGATGCCTTTCATCCTTCAGGCACCCCAGTCATGTTTGTGGAATGGTGATTGAGGAATACTGTATTCCATACGTTCAGTAAAGTGTTGTCAGCCAGCGAACATATTGACTATTTCAGAGTACACTTTAAAGTAAAATAAAGATTTTGTATCCTCTGGTAAAATAAGGGACTGAAACCCTTAAACAAATACAGATTTTTCAGTCTGAAGTCTAGAGTGGAAAGTTTTGTCCATTTTTGGCCGGGTGGAGAAAAAATGACTAGTAATTTTAGACACTACGTTTTGTTGTTGTTGTTAAAAGATTAAAATGTGTTAAGGGATAGTCTCAGAGAGCATTAAGGTGTTCGATTAAAATTTTTACAAATGCGGACACTGGTAAGAATTTGGGTCACTGTTGCTTTAGGTAGTCAATCCGGAGGGCTCTTGACTGTTGTGCAAGGCAGCCTGTGAACTGCCTTTCCTGGTTTAGGAGCATGTAAATCATCAGTTTTGCCCTTGTCTGGAGACTTCCCTTCTGCTGTATAGTTAAATGTCATTAATTTGAAAACCCTAACTAAAAATGTGTGACTACTTTCTTACTGAGTAAAATGCTCTAATGGGTTTCTTGCAAAATTTGAGGTCTTATTTGTTAGTAGAATTCATTATAAATATCTTCTTCAAACCAAAGCTTAATAACCTCTTGGATACAATATTTTACTTTCCTTGTGTTTTTCACGTATTATGGAATTTGCACATTTCATTTATAGTCTACTTTGATTTTAGAGTTTATTACTTTTACTTGTCTCTACCCATTCATACTGAATTTTATCATATGGGCTTTATTTGTAATTAATGAAACCGTATTTTAAAATATCCTCTATTTTAACATTCTGGGCTGATCTGCTTCCCCATTATTGTTAATTGAATGTTTACTATAATAACCTGTATAATTTTTAGATTTTTTACTAAGGACACATGTTTCTGGAAGTAAAGTAGGACTAAGTATATAGCAACAGAAAGTTTTCAGCCTTTTTTATATAAAGCCACACCAGGTTTAAAATTCCAAGTTATGGAATTCACTGAGTTATCACCTCTGTTTTTATAATCAGAACTCATTATTGGGTGCTTATTGAAATAAGACAGTATATTAAGCACTTTGTGGAATGGAATTCAGTTAAACTTATAAATAAGATTTCTCCATGGTTTTAAATTCTAAACTCTCAGACATGGGTTACAGTTTTTGATGTCAGCTTGTCTTTACTGTTAACTATACAAGGTGAATAAATTTGGTTTTAGTAAACAATGATAAGTGACAGGCGAGAGTATCTTTGTGCTCCTTGTTTTCAGGAAGAAGGAGGAAGCAGCGGAGTAGGGTTCAGTCACCGGCAAGTGGCCCATCTAGGGTATTACACCGGCCCTGGGCAGTGGCGCCCCTGAGCAGTTTCTGTTAACCCAGTATGGCCCAGCATCCTTCCTCAGGCGTGGTAATGGGTTAAGTAAAAGATTAACGAGCTTGATTTGTATTTTTGAGCTGATATCATGGTAGTTAATTAAAAGAGAGGTGTCAGATGGTTGGACAGGAGCGCAGTCTCAGTACTTGACATAAGTGCCATTTTCCGGAGATACATCACTGGCCTTTTACCGGGTTAATAGAAACTGCTTATTGGTGCCAGCACCCAGGGCCAGTGCAATACCTTCCATACCTGCCTGTCCTAGTTACACTTGCTGCTTCTAGAATGTTATACCAGAATTTTAGAGCTGCTGACGAAGGAGGGTTAACAGACGGGCCTGGGGGTTATGGGGGCTTACCCAAAGGCTACTACTGAAAGTGAGAAATTTCTTTAAAGTTGTATGTTTAAAGTTGAAGAATTCCTGGGAATTTTTCAACTTATTCCATAATAGATCCATGTTTGTTATAGAGTATAAACAAATTTGAATTCACACTTACTGTTGGGTAAAATTACCACTCTGGAAGATTCTCCAGCTTAACTTGAGGCTTGGAGTATCCCTGGCACTTCTCTGCCACGGTCTAAGTGGTCTAGCATGAGAGACAAAGGGCAGTAGATAAGAGCTTAGACTTTGGAAGCATACAAATTAGAGTTCTCTTTCTGGGTTCAGTTTCTTCGTATGTAAAATAGGGTTAATAATGCCTGCCTCCTAGGATTTTGTGAAGAGTTAAAACAAACAATGGACCCAGCTTATAGGAAACACTCATTGATCTGTTGTGGCTATCGTTGTTATTAATACTATGCCCTAGCGCTCTTTCTTCACTAGTGGAGATTCTGGTCATTTTCAGTGTTCAGAAGTAACTGAGGTGATAGTTTCTGAATTGCCTACAAATGGCTGCTTTAATCAGCTGGACTCTTCCACTGAGGGCGTTGCCCCTTGGGATTGTTGGGCCTTTTTGGAGATGCATTAACTCACCCCACTGGAGTGTCGTTTTGTATATTGCCAAGTACCTTTTGTGGTTGCCTGGAGGTCACAAGAATCAGTGCGTATCTCTGAGTGCCAGAACCACCTCCAGGAAGTGGGACCATCTCTCCATGGAATGGTCTGGATCGACCGCTGGCTATGTTTTTTTTTTTTTTTTTTTTAATACAGTTAATATGTTTTCAGAATCTGTTATGGCTGGACACTATGCTGAGGTATTTTCTCAACAGCTTTGTTAGAGGGGTGATGATCCCCCGGATTTCCTGAGTTAAAGCAATGCAAAGTGGCGGGGTCCTAGGTCATACGGTATCTTGCCTGGATTGCTGCATTTTCTAAATGCCTGCATATTCCCTGGGAGTAGGTTCCCAAAAACCCACTGCCGAGGAGTCGATTCTGACTCATAGCAACCCCACAGGACAGAGTAGCACTGCCCCCATGGGGTTTCCAAGGCTGTAAATCTTTATGGAAGCAGACTGCCACGTCTTTTTCCCGCAGAGCAGCTGGTGGGTTCAAACCAACGACCTTTTGGTTAGCAGCCAAGGACTTTAACCACTATGCCACCAGGGCTGCTTGGGAGTAGATTAATCACTTAGAAAATGACGTTTATTTTATGATGATGATGATGATAAATAGAAGTAATAACTGTAATCTTTTTATTACTTATAACATATGGAAGAGGAGACAAACCTCAAGGCCTAGATAAGTGGCGTGCCCAAGGTCATGCCAAGTAATGACCGAGTTGAGTCTAGGGCCCAGGTCTTTGACCCTTGTACGTTGTAATCTGTCAGTTTTTGTATTTTTTAAGTATGATGACTGTGCAATAGGAAATTTGGTGTGAGTGCAGATTATGTTACTCCAGAACCATTGTGTGATCACGAGAGTTTTCAGCTTGGAACCTGTGGCCCCTATTTAATGAGCCTCACAACGTCCCCCTTTAAGTAACCATAACTTTCTTTCCACAGACAAAACAAAACTAACCAGGAGGGAATAAAGTTGGAAGCTTTTTTCCTGGAGGAAAAGGACTCATATGATTCTAGTGCCATATATTGAATGAGTTTAGATGTGAGAACAATCTTTACAGATACAGTTACGCCCTGCCAAAAGTCTGTTTATAAAACCAAAAACCGGAAGTGAATAATAAATGAAGAAAGCAATATTTTGCATTACTGAAGAAGTTCTTCTTTCTCTTTCCCCCCTGAACAGGAAGAAAAAAGCCTGAGACAGCAACATATGAAGACTGTGAAGATAATCTTGAATAGCAATGGTGAATAGTCCTGCTGCTAGGCTCCTTCTGCAGAACGTCTGACATGAACCTTTCTTACTGATTGTTTTTATTGGCCCAGAGCCAGAAGTAGTACTGGATTTAGTTGACTCCAGGATAAAAAGAAAGCAGTGCCGGTTATTATCATAAACATATGAACCAGTGTGATGGTGAAATGAGATGAGGCTCCGAAATGGAACTGTAGCCACCGCGTTAGCGTTTATCACCTCGTTCCTGACTTTGTCTTGGTATATTACATGGCAAAATGGGAGAGGTAAGGAGAACGTCTTCAACGGTGTGCATGGAATGTAGACGCTTTGCTTTGTAAGCAGTGCGTACATGCTCAGGCTGAATAGCTTAACCACCTGTATCATGTTATCTGGCACTTTTTCCTGACGGAAAAATGAAACCGTATTCTTGGATAGAGGAGCGAGAATTTCTAATCAGAATGCAATTTGTTTTGTTTTCGATTTCTTATAATTGCACTTGGAGAAACAAATACTGATCAGTGGTTTGTATTATAGATGACAGCCAAGTTGAATAATAGAGATTTTTGTTTTGGCCTTTTATTTTTATTGTTAGCCATCATAAGCGTTTAATAAGCTTCCTTGTACCGAGTGTGTGTAAAACACTTAAAAGGACACAATCATTACCTTCATGAAATTTGCATGCTAATTACACTAATAATTTGGTACTATGTAGTAGTTAGTAATTTAAACTGCATGTGTTGACAGATTGTTCTTTAGGCAAAAGTATTTATGAAGTGGGTGAGGAAATAATTGTGTTTAGACTGTTGAACTGTGTTTTAGAAGGCTATGTGTTCATTTATTGAAACTATAGTCAGCGAGAATGCATTTCTTTGCTTTTTTTTTTTTTTGAGGAGAAAATATTTGGAGTAAATTTTCATCCACACTGTTTACCTGTTTCCTCTTCTTTAATTAATCTAATGAATGTTGATGGCAGGATGGACAGGGATGTGGAGATGATTGTGTACCTGGTCTGTTAGCGTTAAGTTCGAGTAGTCCTCATCACCTGGGCTATCTGAAGATGCTATTGCTGTCATTATTTTATTGGGTTGTGTGAAAATGACGGAAAACATTAATTCATGACTTAATTTTTTTCTGATATGTGTGTATAGATACGTATATATGTGTGTGTGTGTACATATATATGTATAAAATAAGTTGATTCAGACTCATAGCGAGCCTGTAGGGCAGAGCAGAACTGCTCCATAGGGCTTCCAAAGAGCAGCTGGTGGATTTGAACGGCTGACCTGTTGGTTAGCAGCTTGAGCTCTTAACCACTTTGCCACCACGGCTCCAAGCTAATACAAGCGAAAAACATATGCTCTGTGCTTTGAACAAGTATTCTTTTTCTCTCTCTCTCTCTCTCTGAGTTGGGCTCTTATTTTTGGGGGAAACTCTTTGGGGGAAAAAAATAAAAAAATAACTTTCTAAAGTTTCTTCTTTTTCCTTTGTGTACAAATATGTACATTTTTAGAATTCATTTATTAATTGAACCAAAATGAGAAGACTTACTTAGCAAGAACTTTGAGTAGTTAATTTAACCAAACTATTGACCATCCCTGATGTGACCAGAATAAATGACTGACCGTTAAAGTCTCTGATGAAATATGAGACTTGACCAGGAGAAAAGCCTGTGGATTTTTCCTTATCAGGAAGCTTACCTACTCACTGAGTTATAGTAATGGAGACACTTAACCCCTCTCACTGTGTCTTACTTAAGGGATTAAAAGTTTTAGAATCTTCATTCCATTTATCCTAGTTCTTATGTAATAGCATCGTAACCATTATTTTTAAATTTACCCATCTTTATAATCAAAATAAATTTATAAAATATAAAGATTCTTTCACCGTGTAGTTTTAGGTATATGCAAAATAAGTTTGTTGTCTTTGATTATCACTCATTGAACAATTCTGTTTATACTCTCTTCTGCTGTGTTCTTCTGCTTAGTTTTTTGCCCAGCTCTTTGAATATTGACATAGGTCTCCTGTGATGGTTACATAAAGTTACCTGTGTTTAAGTGCTATTGTTTCTGTAACCACTCTAACTGTTGAGCATTTGGATTCTTTCTAGATAGTTCTGACAGTCAGGTAGCGTAGATTTTTCCAGGGAAGGCCTGATTTTAGATATTCAATTCTAGTGCACCCATAAACCACGTGCCCTGATTTTTATTTTGAAAGCAAGGTTTCCATAATCATAGACTTTGCTGGACAAAGAGTTTTTATTTTCATTCATGCACTGGTCCCTTACATGTACCTACTTTGTATTATATGTATGCACTGAACTATATACTGTAAATACAGAAAAGAATAAGAAACTTCACACCTTTGAAAAGCTCACGCAGACTTGGTCAGGAAGATGCATGTGAAAAAATGTGACAGCTACCAGATAGGGTGTGATATAAGCAGTAACAGGATGCTGAGCTTATACTGTTATCATCAGCAGATTACATGTATTATCTCTTTTAATCCTCATAACAGTACTGTCAGGTGTTCTTACTCCCTTTCTGGAGACAGGAAGATCAAAGCAGAGGGGTTGAGAAACTCGCCAAGGTCTTGCATTAATGGTAGAGTTGAAGTCTGAGCTTAGGCAGAGCTTATGCCCTTTGCCCTGCTGCCCAGAAGAAGCTACTGAACCTTCAGGCACGTCACAGAGGAAGTAGAATGTGAAGGATGACCGTGGACACAGGGCCAAGCAGAGTAGGGGCAAGTGGGTGTATCAGCCAGCAGGAGCTGCGGACGCAGCTGCGAAGTTCTGAAAGGGTGTGGTGTATTTATGCTTGGGGGTTGTGAGGCACTTGTTACGACCAGCCCCTAGGATTCATCAGCCGTCCCAGGGTTTAGCTGGGAATCATAGCACGGTTCCAGAAGTGCATCTGGTTTCTCAGAGGTCTTCATTCACCACTTACAGGAATATGTGAGCTGGTCCATGGGATTGGCATAGGTGGGGAGGATGTCAGGAGCCCTGCCAGGGAAGCTGGCGTTCAGGACAAGACCCAAGTTTCAGCAGGGTGTACAGAATTCCTACATAAAAATTAGGCAGAATGCCAGGTAGATGGAATGGGTGGGGTAGGAAGGTTGTAAGCAGGTGTTGAGAAAGCGAATCAAGAATAGTGCCATGTCTCGCTTGGTGGTGGAGTAGAGCTCCTGATGAACCTCCTCCTTCGGCCAGGTGCAGTGTAGAACCCGGCAGGACTGAGCGAGCAGTCATAGATCTTGTCCCTGGGGACGGGGACAGATGTTACATCCCTGGTGCCTCGTGCTTAGTAGGCATTTAGTAAACATTCTTTAAATAAATGAATCATTTTGCAAAAAATGTATTTTTTAAAATGCTTATTCATTACTATATTTTATCAAATCTAATATGTCAATTGTAACACGATGTCTTTTATTTTAAGTACTCTTAAGGAGGGGAAAAAAAGTCCCTGGGTGGCTCAAATGGTTTACACTCGACTACTAAATCTAAAGGTTGGTGGTTTGAACCTACCCAGCAGCACCACGGTAGAAAGGCCTGGAGATCTACTTCCATAAAGATTACAGCCAAGAAAACCCTATGGAACAGTTCTGTTCTGTATCACATGATGTAACAATATGAACCCTTAATAAAGCATTTTATTTAAAACTTTGGATCTTATTTATAAACAAAAAGAGTGAACAAAAGTTTTTAGACTTTTTAAAGTTTTTCTTAAAAAAATAAGCAAAGCTCCTTTCAAACAAGATATAAGGAAAAATTAATAATCTAGAATTTGTTATTAACTAGCCTCATTCTGGTTCACAGAAATTGTGTATTTCTCTTTGTGGAGTGCCTTCTGTATGCCAGGCACTGTTAGAGGTTTGGGATGCATTAGTGAACATATTAGAGAAAGACCTCTGGTCTAGTGTCAGGGAGGAGGGACGGGAGATACCTAAGAAACAATAAATAAAAGACCAAACAGTCAATTTAAAAGTAATACATGTGTTTTTAAACTCTTTTTTGGAAATATTTTTAGATTTACAATAAATTTGCAAAACTAGTACCGAATTCCCTTTACCCTTCACCCAGCTTCCCCTCATGTTAACAACTCACATAACCAGAATAACATTTTCTAAGCCAAAGAATTAACTCTGATACAACACTATTAACTAATTTACAGACCTTATTTGAATTTTGCCAGTTGTTCCACTGACGTTCTTTTCTGACCCAAGATGCAATCCAGGCCCCCACGCTGCATTTAATTGTGTCTCCCTATTGTTATTAGGTGCCGTCATTTTTGACTCATAGCGACCCCATGTGACAGAGCAGAACTGCTCCAGAGGAGTTTCTAGGCTGTAACCTTTATGGAAGCAGATCGCCAGGTCTTTCGCCCATGGAGCCCCTGGGTGGGTTCGAACCGCCAACCTTTTGGTTTTGCTTAACTGTTTGAACTACCTTTGTGTCTCCTTAAAAAAAAAAACAAAAAAAGAACCCAAACCTATTGCCACTGAGTCAGTTCCCACTCTTAACAACTCTTTAGGACAGAGTAGAATTGCTGCACAGGGTTTCCAAGGAGCGGCTCGTGGATTCGAACTGCCGACCTTTTGTTTTACAGCTGAGCTCTTAACCACTGCGCCACCAGGTTTCCTCGTGTCTCCTTAGTCGCTTCCATTTTGAGGAAGTTTCTCGGTCTTTCTTTGTCTTTTATGTCCCTGGTACTTCTGAAGAGATTTGGCCGGTTATTTTGTAGAATGTCCCTTAATTTGGGTTTGTCTGTTTTTTTCTTATGGTTCGACTGAGATAATGCACGTTTGGAAAGAATACCTCAGAGGTGATGTTACGTTCTCAGCGCGTTGTGTCAGGAGGTGCATGATGCTGATACGTCTTGTTCCTGGTTGTGCTAAGTTTGAGCACTTGGTTAGGGTGGTGTCTGTCAAGATTCTCCACCTTTAAGTTACTTTTTCTTTTCCTTTGCAATTAAGAAGCATTTTGTGGAGGCATACTTTGAAACCCAGCAAATATCCTGCTTCTCGTTATACTTTTGCCCACTAATTTTAACATCCATTGATGATTTTTGCCTGCAACAATTATTACTGTGGTGTTGGCCAAATGTAATTTTCTATTTCCATCATCCCTTCTACATTTATTAATTGGAACTCTACTGTGAGGAAGAGATGTCTTTTTTTCCCTCATTTATTTCTTTCCTAGGTTATTTATTTACATGAATATGTGCTCATGGATATTTATTTTATTCTCTGGACTATCATCCTTTATTATCATTAATTATTTTATTGTTTA